TCCTTATCACAGGAAGCACACCTAAGTACCACTGGCTTATGCTTAATAGCTATAGCAGGCTGTGTGTCTGGGGCAGGCAGGCAAATACAATTCCATAGACACCTCTGCTGACTCTGCTTCAGGTCACGTGCTTATCTTTTGGCCCATCACTGTGGCTCACAGGATGGGAAGGAGGTCTGAGCTGAGTCATGTACTCTTCCCCTGGTCATGATACAGACAGTGCAGACTGAGTGGTTACTGTTCACAGGAACTCACACAAAGCAACCCTTTTTAACACGGTGTGGGGTGTGAAAGGCTTCAGTTGGACTGTGTGTATGTGTGACAGCATTTCCAGGCTGACTTTGAACTCACAATGCTCCTGCCTTGGCCTCTAGAATTATGGAATTCCAGACATGTGCCACCATGCCTGGTAAACTTTTTTGGTTCCTGTTAGACTAAGCAAAGTGAACAGGGCCAGCACAAAGCGTTGTAAGGTGGGGAAAAGACCAAATAGAGGGGGAAGTAGGATACTGGGTAGGCCAAAAGAGGTAGCCACTGTAACAATCAAAGTGCTGATTTGGGAAATGGTGTTTGGCTTGCTGTGACAGAATAAGCTTGGCAATGACAAGGGAAGGTGGGGCAGCTGTCAGGCTGGCCGAGGCTTGTGGGCACTCTGAACAAGGAGTGAGTCCTGAAGGGATACTTTTGGGCAGATTTACGTGACAGGCTCTCTCAGAAACACTGCCTCAGCTCATCTTCCTGTTTTTTTTTTTTTTTTTGGTTTTTTTGGGAAAGGGTCTCCTTATAGCCCCAGCTGGCCTGGAACTCGCTTTGTAGACCAGGCTGGCCTCCATCTCACAGAGATCTGCCTGCCTCTGTCTCCCGAGTGCTGGGATTAAAGGCATGCGCCACCACGCCCGGCTTCATCTTCCTGTTTATGCCTACATCATGACTGCATAAGCCCCCACCCCATTACCTTCCAAATCTAAAGCTAATACAGGGAATTACTTTTATTCAGTACTAAAATGTGTATTTTGAAAACAACTTACACTTAAAGTGCACTTTTTAGTCACAATGGTGCCAACCATAGGGAAACCTAGTGGGACCATGGCAGTGGTTTGTTTAGTTTGCATGACTTCTCAGGGTTAGCCTGAGGCTTGAGAACTATGGTTATCTTTGCATCCTGGACATGAAGTTGTGACTGCGTTGTATCCTCTAAGATGAGAGCATGTCAACTCTCCTCTGACACTGAGGAACCGTGTATCATGGTGGCCACTGTTTCTAGTTAACAGGGTGTGGTGGCAATAGCTTACAAGCAGACAGATTTCACTATCTTTAATTTTCAGAAACTTATTAACTAAATTCCAGCTAAGAAAAGTTCCAACTGGACATCTTAAATATTTTAAGATTCTTGCCATCCAAGCTGATCACTGCAGGTGAAATAGGACATGGATACTTCTGCAAAATGGAAGACTGTGGCTACTAACAAGGAAATAGAGGGAAGGGAAAAGACCACCTTCTAGGAGTTACTCTTTGTTTTGCTTTGTTTTTGGTCTTTTTGAGAGAGGGTTTCCCTGTAGCGACAGCTGGCCTGGATTCACTATGGAGACCTGTCTGCCTCTTTGAGTGCTAGGATCCAAGGCGTGTGCTACCACACCTGGCTTCTAGGAGTTACTCTTCTACCATTGACGTTTAGTACTGACAAGAGTGAAGAGATCATAGGGATTGAAAAGAAACAAGAGCCTGAAAACCTGTTTTCTTATGATCATGCACTAACCCTGGCTCTTAAAATCTTTCTGCCTCCCCTTCCGAAATGATCTCTGAACTTTTGGTGGGTGGGGTTTAATATAGGAGTCCTATCCAGTGACACACCCTCTGCAGTCTCTGGGGAAATGGGCAGTTGGCCCCAACCTTAGCTGGCAACTGATTACTGAGGGGTGAGGGAGAGTTGATATTTAAGGGAGCAACTCTAGATAGGCTGACGACTTCAGTGGATGAATTTGTACCAAGGAGCATCTGGGTACAAATGCTTAAGGCCTGAAACCAATTCCCTGGACCAAGGACTGCTTGTTTTTTTTTTTTTCATCTTACTTCAGAGGATTCTGGTCAGATGTAATCTTCTTAAGGGATATTTCCTAACATATCCTGAGAACTGCAGGGTGGGGAGGAAGCAAGTTGCACTCTGTAACTTATAAATGAAAAACCACAAGGTAACAGACAATGCTAAGCATTCACCTACCCTTGTTCAGACACAGAGAGGAAGAGTTCATGTTAACAGTTAGCCAAGGGACTATTCTGGGGTGTATGCGCATCACCAGCCAAAAAGCCGATCTCCAAAAAACAGAGTACTTAAAACTTTCCATTTCCACAAGTTAACCTATAAGTTTTAAGTGACCCACCTGCCATCAATGGGTAAAAGGCCAAATACAAATGAGAAGGGAAGGACTGAGACATAAACACTGATCAAGGTGCAGCCTGCTTCCTTACCAAGTTTGCCAGAAAAGAAATCTAATAAACATTTCCCCTGGGAGTTTTTTTTAATCCCTTGCTCCCGGGTATTGTGACTCTCAGTCATGCAAGGATGTCTGTTCAGATCTGGTCTATTTCATGAGGGCTGGAAGGAACAAGGGAGAACCACTGGGGAAGCAAGCTTAGGAATGCTTTGGCTTATTGACGGCTTGTTGTAAGCAAAGCATCAGTTTCTAAGAGGTGTGTGGGACACACAAAAATGAAGTTTCTGCCCTTAGGAATTTCCTAACCATTAGCCTTTGGAACAGGCAGCCTGCTATAAAACAGGGCGGTCAGTTCTGTCATTGGTTGGCCATGTGCCTGAGTAGGGCGGAAGCAGTGCTTTGTAAGATGAAGGCTCCAGGTGAGGTTGGGTAAAACTGAAAACTGAAGGCATTAAATATAGTGGGTATTCCTCAAAGTATATTCCAAATAGAAGCACGTCTACTTAACTGTTTGTACTGCTCCCAGCAGCACCAGGCAGGTCTGCAAATGCAGTGAGTGCGGCAGAGGCTCCCTACAGCCTGCTCTGGAGGAACTTCTAAGTCTGCCACTTCTATTTTTTGTCAAGACAAAAAATAATATTTTCAGATCACACTCTGGTAAATGATCTTCATAGCTGTTCTGGCTTTAAAACTTGATTACTGGTAATTTTTCCTTAGGGAGTCCACTGCTTTGTCACTGTATTTAGTCTTCTGTTGAGTTTGTAGCCTACTTTTCAAGACTGTTACTGCTTATATAAAACAGGACTAGACTAGATGACTCTGAAATCTATACAAACTGGGCTGGAGAGATGGCTCAGTGGTTAAGAGCACTGGCTTCTCTTGCTGAGGACCTGGGTTAGGTTCTCAGCACCCACATGGTGGCTAACAACTGTCTGTAACTCCAGTTCCAGGGGATCTGACACCCCCTCTGGCCTCTGTAGACATTGCATGCATGTGGTACACATATATACATGCAGGTAAAACACTCACACACATAAAAACAAATCTTAAAATCTATACAAACTGAAAATTTAGAGTTCCTTGATAATATTCACAGGCATTCACTGAAGCCTGAAACAGGATACATACACCCAGGTCACCACGTTCACAGAACTAATATTTAGTAAACAAGACTTTGGAGATAAGATTCATGGCAGGGCATGTAGCCAAGGGTACATGTTCAGTAGGTGCCAGACCCCGGGTTCCCTTCCTCAGCATTACAGGGGAAAAGAGCAATTTAAGATTCATATTTCAAGTTCAGCCTGAATACCACCAGGATGACAGCAGAGTATAGACAGGAAATACAAAACTTGAGAAGGCAACAACCATCTAATACTACTTGGTAAAATTCTAGTTTCTTTGTCCAGCCATGATTGGTATGTTGCTCTTTTTAGCTTTGACTGTTTAACATCTCATTTCTTTAGCCCATTTCCATTAACAGTGTAAGATTCAAAACCAATTTTAAGACATATTTCAGTAGTTTTCTTAATTTCCAAATGTCTTCATCCTTAGCATCCAGGATGACCAAATACTGACTTAACTGATCAGGTGGAAGTTGAACTTGTCTGTTACAGATCTTCCAGTAAAACCTCTTGGTTTGGGCTGACTCCAGTCCCAGGTGCTCAGGTGCCATTGCTGGAATGAACAGTTACAGTCACTGAGACATTTAGTGCATGCATGCATGTGTATGCACTATGGTGTTTTAGCATACCTGGTCTATGTGTTGTTAGGGACTGAACCCAAGATTTCATGCATTCGAGGAAAGCACTGTATCAAATGAGCTACACCTTCAGCCTACCTACCATTAAAAACAAAACAACAACAACAAAAAACCTAGGTTGGGGCTGGAGAGATGGCTCAGCAGTTGGGAACACTGGCTGTTCTTGAAGAGGACCCGAGTTCAAAGCCCGGCACCCACATGGCAGCTAACAACTGTCCGTAACTCCCGTTCCAGGGGATCCAGCAGCCTCTTCTGTCCTCTGTGGGCGCTGCACGACATGGGTGCACTTACCTACTTGCAGGCATAAAATAAAAATAAATAAAAATAATAAAATTAAAATAATGAAAAACAAGTTAAAGTCTTGTTATCCAGCTCTGGCTGGCTTAATACTCATTGTATAGCCCAGGGCAGCCTCACTCACAAGTGCACCCTGTCACACCCGGTTTGGATATGGTGCATTAAATGCTTCATAGATGAGGACACAACACAGAGACTAATGAGTCTGTGTCTGAGGCGTGTTTGGTGCAAGTACAAAAGTTGACAGATGTTGACAGAAAGAAAAGCCTAAGATTCCCAGGTCTTGGAAAGCTCAGCATTATTTTGTAATTATGTCCTAAAATACAATGCTGGGCTATACTTATACTAAAAGCAAAATTACTGCTGAAAATAGTTATGAATGAAAGGCCTTAGAAAGGCTAATTTTAAAGGAAAAATAAGCTTAAACTTCAAACATTCTCTTTATTCTATGTAACTTGATTAGAGTTAAATGATCTGATTGGTATGGAAGAGAATCAGCATGTACACACAAATAGAGAATAAAACTTTAATAGTATCAAAATCAGAACTTTTGGGGAGCCAATTAGTACTTGCTTGGAATAAAGTTGTAAAATGTTACTTGGTAACTGACTTAGCTTCTAAATCAAGCCAGAATCACATAAACTCTGTATATTACTTTAGTATATACAAGTACATCCCATGATAACATGCAGACACAGGAAACAAAAGTACTATAAAATCAAAATTGCCATCTCTGTTGATGAGATCATGAACTGGAAACAAGCACCTGTCCAGTGGTTCAGAGCATCTACTTTGAAAAGGTAGTTTTGGATGTGGCTTTTCAAGGGTTCAGATAAACTCCAAGTAGTGAAATGACAGTCTTCTCAACATGACGAAAAGCAAGCAGAGTCCTTTGCTTATGGAAGAATACTTTTCCTTTTAGTCAATGATAGCAAATGAAAATGCTTGATAAAATCTCACTCTTTTCAGAAAAAAAGGGGCTCTTCACATTCCAGTGGTTAAGGAATCCCTTCAAAGTTGGAGGCATTCAGTGTCATGCTGCCTACAGCAGCATGTGCTCAAGTACCTTTGATGACAGCATCCGACAACAGGTCTAATTTTCCTGAGAATTAAATGAGACCTACTAAAGAAATAGGCTATGAAAATGACCTGAGTTCATAGGAATTTCTAAATTCAAAACACATTGCTTCAGCTTTGCTAAGATCTCATCAAAAGCCTTTTATAGAAAGGTTTCTTAGTGAGTCACATACTTGGTCACAGAGCCTTGGAATTTTTAAACACTAAAAAGAAGTGCTTCATGTTGTGCAATGACAGCCGAAAAGCCAACAGTACTGATGTTGAGAAAACCCACAGGAAAGCTGAAGACTCTAGCATCCTGTGAAGAGAGGAGGGGAGTGGTGAGCTGCCTAACTCTGGTCCTGTTTGACAATGGTTACCAGGAAGCTACCTAATTCTTCCTAAGCAAGTAAAGACAGGGTCTTGAGTGGAGCCTAGTAGAAGCCCTCTCAAGACAGGGCCATTGTGGCAGAGATGGTTACTGTTCCCTTGAGTTCATTCCTCTAAGAATCTATGAATCTGTATGTAGGGCAACATACTGGACTTCATGGTCATTCTTCAACTTCTGTTATCTGCAGACCACTAAGGTCACAGGTGAATTATCAGTCACTAAATAGCATTTAAATACTATGATTTGGCTTCAAGCCCAACTTTTTGATTTGCTATATAATCTAACACAAGGCACTTAGATATTTTGGTGCCTTGGCAAATTAACATGTAACTGAATGATAGATAACACTTGTTTACTTACTGTAAGGAGCTACTATCAAGGTCACTGAATGCATATCTCATTAAGCACTTTGAGGTCCTTAGCTGAAAAGCATTGGGGAAATACTTAGCTAAGGCAAACCCTTCCAGGGCCTAGGTGTTCTCAGGTGTTCTACTGTGCGCTCAGGTTTGTTTTCTTAACACTTTTAAAACGAAGTTAGTAGCACTCTGTCCCTTGGTATATGGCTAGCTGTTTGGCACAGATGTTCATAAGCAAGCAGCTGTTGTACTCTCTATCACAAAGATGCTTCCTAAGTTTCTAACAAAGTTAATGAAATGTTCCCAATGTGGAATCCTCCAAGCTTAGAAACATTTTAGCTTTCTCTGAGGTACATGTGACATAATAAAAAATTCATTAAAAAAACCGAACTTGTGCTGTGAGAAACCATGTTTTTAATGAAAAAAAAAATACTGAAAGTATGCCACTGCATTGTGTTCATCTGAAGAGTACAAAGATGGAGTTCTGGGAAAAAGGGGCCACAACACTACAGAAAATAGGTGTGGTCCTTAAATTGTGTTCAAAAGAAACATTAAAAAATGTAATATTTCATATGCTGAAATAATTAGTGAGACAATAAATTATAAATACAGTAGTCCAAATGTTTTTTGCACTAGTTTTTTTTTTCCATTAGTTTTTCTAAACAAGTTAAACTGAAAACATCTTAGGTTTGTTATAGTCTTCTTTTAAAGGAACTGTGGACATGAAAGTGTTCAGACTCTAAAACGATGATGCCATCTTGTAGCCTTTACACAGAATATACTGGACTTTGACCATTTTAGTTATAACATCTTTGGATTAACACATTATATTCAATTTATTAATATGCCTTTATATTTTGGAGAAACAGGACTGTGATCGGTACCCTCGTCATGCAGTTCACCTAAATTTTCACACTCCGCCTCTCCCTTGATTCTCTGCAGGGGGTTCTATCAGACTCATAATCAAAATGACAGAAACAGTAAATAACTTCTTTAGGACTGAAAGTGTATTTTTCTCTTTTAAAAATAAAATAAAGTGCTTTTAAATTCAAACATTTCTTGTCCTAAACAAAACTGGAACCTTGAAATCTCCACATCTTGTCACATTTTAACAGAAAAAAACAATCAGTTTTGAGCCATTAATATCATTCAGAGTTCAGATTGGATCTAAATTGGGTTTTGTGTCATCATCGTGCTCATGTTTGTACATAAATGTTAAGAGAAAGAGGGCGACATCCAAGGACGACCAATAGGCAGTGTGTGATGTGACAGCTGACCAATAGCGGCTCTCCACAAGGCCTTCTCTGAGTTCGAAATCAATCCTGTGATCCAATTCCACTAAAAAGAAAAAAAGTTAAAGATTACAACATGCTCAATACAGACTTGATAGCTGAGTGAAAATTTTGCTAAACAAATGATCTTTAAATTCTCTCTTTTTTTTGTTCTTTTTGAGACAGGGCCTCCTTGTAGCTCCAGCTGCCCTGGAACTCACTACGTAGACCTGGCGGGCTTGAACTCACAGAGATCTGCCTGCCTCTGCTTTCCAAGCACTGGGATAAAAGGTGCGAGCCACCATATCGGGCTGTTTTTTTTTTTTTTTTTTTTTTTTTGCTCTAAATCTATTGGACAGTGAAGAGTCTTAGTAGCTCAAGGTTCTATTTGGTGGAATCTGTTTCTTCACAACTCAAGTCAGCAAGAAACAATAGGGAAAGAAACCCCCCAAATTCACTTGCTGTCATGGCATATTTTTGGAGTAAAAAAAAAAAAATTGGGCTTAAATCCTAGATCACCATTTCTTACCTCCCTCCCTTGAAGAATTTCATGCACAGAGGAGTGGGGCAGGTAACTTGATGACTATTCAGATAGGGACCCTATATGCCATCCGCTTCTGTGGGGATATTTTCATCAAGAACCATCTTTTTTACACTCCAAGAGTGTTCTTCCCATTAGGCTGAATTCTTTAAAGGCAGCCACTACCTACACATTAGTCTGCATCCATTCAGCGGGGTCCAGCTTGTGCCTGGGACATTCAAGTGTTCCTTAAACAACTGTTCAAAAGAAGAACCCGCTGTGTGGCTGCAAGAACTTAAACTCTGGGAACAGTTTGTGGGAGGAAGGGCTTTAGAACAGTGCTGACCTGAAACCATTTGTGAGTCCAATCGAGCCTTTTTAAAACCCAAGCAAGTCCTTATACTAGCCAGACTGACCTGGAGGCTCACACCTTTAATCCCAGCACTTCAGGGATGAATTTAAAGAGTTCCATTCTTTTGTGGGCATCACTTATATGTCATTAATAAAGCGTTGTTGGTTTCTCTTGGGATGTTCAAGTGGTAATGTAGGTACAAGAGCATAGTCAATGAACTGGGTGTGGTGGCTCATGTCTTTAATTCTAGCACTCAGGAGGCAGAGACAAGTGACCTCTGTGAGATTGAAGCTTTTCAGTGAGTTCCAGGCCAGCTAGAGCTACAGGGGGGCCTTGTCTCCCAAAACACCTCCCCCCCGAAAACAACAAAACATCCTTGCAATACTTGTGTGAGAGAAACATCATCTCAACAAATAAAGGCTCTCAATGAAATCTTCTTTTTTTTTTTTTGATCTTTTTGAGACAGGGTCTCCCTGTAGCTCCAGCTGGCCTGGAACTCACTATGTAGACCAGGCTGGCCTGGAACTCACAGAGATCGGCCTGCCTCTGCCTCCTGAGTGCTGGGATTAAAGGCATGTGCCACCATGCCCAGCCTCAGTGAAATCTTAATGAGTTAGTGTAATAGATGTGTTAGAGACAACACATTTAGAAAAATGCTATGAAGGGCCTGTGAGATGGCACAAGCCTGGTGAACCGAGTTTGATCCCCAGAACCAATACAAAGATGGCAGGAGACAACCAATCCACAAAGTTGTCCTCTGACCTCCACACGTGCACCATGGTACATATGTCACATACTCACATCATGCACACAAAGCACACACACAATAATAGAAAACCCCCCATAATATTCAGGGTCTCTTAAAATTGTCCACGAGCCACACAATATTCTGAAGAGTCTATCTTACAAACAAAACAAAACACCCAAGTCACTACCAGACATGTATTAATGTCTTCTATATGTTTGCAGTGTCAAAGGGTGTCAAAAATAAAAAGTGGTAAAAATCAAGAAGGCTAAAGAAAAAATAATGGGTTTTGCTTTATACTTGGAATGTGGCAGTCACACATAGGAAATAATCCCACCCTTGGAAATAATTTAAAATAAATGCGTAGTTAATGCTAATTTTAAACAAGGCTTATTCCCTGATAATAGCATTTGGTAATTAAAAAAATATGTAACTAGTTGTTACTTTTCCCTTCAATTATACTTTTCTGATTCATGGATTTATCCATGTAGCCATTCAGAGGTTTACATTTAGGTAAAATGACAATTAGGCTACAGAAATACTTGTAAAATACATGGACATAGGCCTTTTACGAAGTTCTTTTAACTTCAATTTTTTTCCTTTAATTAAAAGAGAGTTAATTCATAAGTCTGAAATTGTTGAAACCCATGTGGATATGTATGTATGTATGTATGTATGTATGTATGTATGTATATATGTTTCCTTCCTTCCTTCCTCCCTTCCTTCCTTCCTCTCCTTATATGTATGAATGTTTTGCCTGTGTGTATGTAATGCCCATGAGGCCAGAAGAGGGTGGTGGATCCCCTGGTACTGAAATCACAGATGGTTGTTAGCTGCCTTTGGGTGCTGGGAACTGAATGGGTCCTTTGCAAGAGCAGCTAATGCTCTTAGCCAATGAGCCACATCTCTTTAGCCTCCTCATCTTTTATTTTTTGGATTCCATGGATCTTCATATGAGATTTGTAGGTACATTCTCTCATAACAAACCAGAAAATGAAAAAAGAATTGAAAACTTGGGATTCTCAAGCATGATGAGATGAAGTCAAGACAAAGTTGGTTACAAAGAAAGAGAAGAGACAGACATGTTAAGATTGGTACAGACCACTATGATATAATTTGGATTCACTTTTAAATGCTGCTGCATGTCTTTCTAGACCAAAAGTCTTCAGTTGGAATTCTGTTTTAAGTCAAAGGGAGATTTTTCACGTGGTAAGAATTATGGCTCCATTTTATTTCTGAAATTTATTTTTATCCTATTAATGTATTGCCTGCATGTGTGTAGGTGTACTACATGTGTGCAATGTCCAAAGAGGTCATAAGAGGCTGTCAGATCCCTGGAACCAGAATCAAGGACAGTTAGTTGTTAGCTGCCACGTGGGTACTGGGAACTGAACCCTCAAATTTATTCCTAACATGCTCTGTCTTATGACACTCCCCTTTGTAAAGTAGATACTGCATTGCCAATCTCTATTTTATTAGGTGTCCCTGTCAATCTTGTCTCCTATAGGGACTTCAGTCATGCTGCTACCTAGATTGGCTCTACCCATTCTTTTCTATTTTTCTTTGAGTTATAGTCATCAAGATGGGATATGGTAGTCAGCTTTTCCCCATGAACCTATTCTAGTTTCTCACTTCCTTCAAAGTTTTCTACCCATGCCATCCAGTGGTCTGTGAAGCTACTTCACATCTATGTTGGCTTTGTGTCCTTTCCTTCTCCCTTGTCTGTAGGTCACAGATCCCAAGGGAGAGAGGTTCCACATGGCAGCACCTCTTTACAATACTGTGCTTACTGATAAGCTCTTGGCCAAAGCAGGCTCTGAAGTACATGGCTCAGCTTCCTCATCGCCTCATTCCAAGACTTGGGGGAACTACATAGGGTGATGCTGTGTCCTAGCTTCTCATGCTCAATTGGATGAGGGAAAGGAGAAAATAAAATGACCACGTTTTCTCTTCTTTAAATGCCTAACTGCTAAACGTTTCCAAAACGTTTGGCTCTTGAACAGGTGAAGGGAAGAAGCTGTAGTTTCAAATGATACCAGCTCTTTACATAATTTTAAGGCACAAACTGGCACATTTCCATCCCTATTCTCCAAAGCAGTATGCCCGTAATTGCCAATGTAAAGGTGAAGTGTAGTGATACTGTACTTTCACTAGAGAATTCTCTGCACAAGGTTTTCCAACACAGGCATGTTACTAAAAAGTAAAAAATGCATAGAAGGTTAGCATCTTTCATTATAATGTGAACAGGACATATTCTTGTTAACAGAAGCCTCAAAATGTAATGACTTTAAAAAAGCTCATTTATAAGTAACTGTGGTCATAAATGTCTGATATTTGGTTCCACAAGGGTACTAACACAAATGCTTACGAGTACTAGCAAAGGATATTTTATGCTTCCAAATGACCAAAGAATTCACTCAGAATAGAAATACTATGTTTGAAGTTTGGACTTTGTTTTATGTCATTACTTCTGTGCTGCCTCAGTGCAACTACACATTTGATATGGTTGTTTGACACTCAATATTTATCATTTGTGAGTCATCCCAGTTGTAAATATATTTAAGAATATTCAACTATTCTTCCATTTAAAAACAATTCTTCCTTATAAAAACTGAAGTTTCAAAATGAGTTTTATCTTTTGAGACAGGGTCTCCCTATAGCCCCTGCTGGCCTGGAACTCAATATGTAGACTAGGCTGGCCTCCATCTCACAGAGATCTGCCTGCCTGTCTCCTGAGTGCTGGAATTAAAGGTGTGTACCACCAAACTCCATTCCAAATGAGTTTTAAAATCAGTTGTCATTTGTCAATTTTTTTCCTCAAAATTTATTTATCCTTAAAGACATTCAAATTCTTAACACCTGACAATTGATAGGTTACTGGGAATAAGGCAGGACTAGCTGGGCCCACCATAATCTGGTTTAACAAGCTTTTTCAATGGTGTCTAGAGCTGCTCCCGCTGTGTCTCCCTGCAAGGCTTTTCCATCTCTGCATGCCCTCATTCTATTTCTTCCACGAAGCCTCCCATCATTTCTCTGGGAAAGTCATTTCTCACTGCTCAGAATTGAGTCCTTTCATCTGTTATGTGGCTCACTGCACATTACTACACAATTATGTGCTTCTCTACTGTTCAGAACAAAGCATACTCTCTAGGAAACATTTCATTTTTTCCAGGGCTTAATTATGTTATGATGGGCAGTGCTGAATGAAGTCTGTTCTACACTGGTGTATTTTTTAGTAAAATGGTAACGGTATCACTTAATTAAGATAAAGAATGAATAAAAGGAGGGATAAAGAGAAAACAAGCCCTATCAATTGCTGCCTGGATCTTTTTCTTGTGGACACGGTCAGTGGTCTAACTGCCTGGGCTGTGAAAGATAAAGGCTACTTGACTGCAGGACAAATATAAAGGGGAATTAATTTTATTTCTGCCAGCTAAAAAATGCAAAAGCCATAAATTTTTTAAAAAAAACTTCATTTACTTATTTTCTTTGTGTGTGTATGTGTGATAATTGAGGAAGTTGATTCTCTCCTTCTATCATATAGATTCCAGGGATCAAAGTCCGGACATCAGCCTTGGCTATAAGTGCCTTTCCCTGCAGAACCATCTCACTGGCCCCACAAAGTTATTTGTGTGGAATATGTGTCCAAGTACATGTGTATATGTGGGTACTCATGTAGATGTGCATGGAGACAGAAGATGACTTTGGGTGTCATTCCTTAGGTGCTGGCCATCTTTTTTTTGAGACAGTGTCTTTCTTTGGCTTAACTCCTACTAAGCAGGGTAGGCTAGGTTGGCTGAGAAAGTCCCAGGGGTCCACCTATCTCTGTGTTCTTAGAGTTGGGATTACAAATATGTGCCATCCACCATGCCCAGCCTTGTTCCATTCTTTAAAGTCTTAAAAGTTATTTTAATTTTATGTGTATGAGGGTTTTGCCTGAATGTATGTAAGTGCACCATGTGCATAAAATGTCCACAGAGGCCAGAAGAAGGCACTAGATCCCCTGGAACTGGAGTTATGGATGACTGTTAGCCACTATGTGGGTGCTAGGAACCCAACCTGGGTCCTCTGCAAAAGCAGCCAATGCTCTTAACTGCTGAGCCATGTCCCTAGCCCAGCTTTTTAAAAAGCAGGTTCTGGGGCTTGAACTCAGGTCTTCCTGCAAGCATTTTACTGACTGAGCTATCTCTCCAGCCCAATTACGGCTTTTTTTTTTTTTTTTTTTTTTTTTTTTTGAGACAGGGTCCCCTTGTAGCCCCAGCTGTTCTGAAGTCACTATATAGACCAGGCTGGCCTTGAACTCACAGAGATCTGCCTGCTTCTGCCTCCTGAGTGCTGGGACTAAAGGTGTGCACCACCACACCTAGCTAAGTTATTATTTTTAATGGAAACATTTAGCTGTTACATGACTAGAAGCTGGAGAGATCACCTAGATCAGATCATTTCTTGAGAAGTCACTGAGTTAGGTGAATTTAAACTCTCACTCTGGAAACAAAAAAAGGACCCAGCTTATTAAACTAAAACACTGATGTAGAAGTATATATATCAGTGATGTGTTTTTTGATAATTTTGAAGAAAATGTCTAAAACTGAGCAGTAAACTATATAATTAAAGGTAGTTAAAATAACCAAAGAAAACCCTGAACACATTCTTAAAATCAAAGATAAAAATTCACTGTTAAAAGAAAAACAGGGAAGAGAAATGATGGAAAAAGGAATAAAAAGGTAGTCAGAAAAGCAAACTGTTAAGATTAGGGTTAGTTACACATTTAGAGTACACCGGCAAGGAAACTGAAAACACCTCTTGCATTCGACATGACTACTTTTAAAAATGAGTCCAACCCTGTGAAGTATGTGGCATAGTACTGTTGGTGCGAGCTGTCTTCTGTGGCATACCTACAGCCCTGAGTGTTAATGGGAGACATGGGAACAACTAGGAACGAGCAAATTCTTTGTACCAAAAAACCCTTTTATATCTAAGTATATTACATGAAGAGAACAGTGACCCTCTCTGAGGCCTTAGGACAATAAGGAAGAAAGAAACTGGCACAACGCCTTCTCTTTTCTCTTCTCTGAAGTTTTCTCCTCTGCAGGAGTGCTATATATTGTAGTATGTGAAGTAGCTGACCAGTATCAGGTTTCATGAGCTCTACCATTTAAGATGAAAAACCACATAAAACAGCTGATCTCGCAGAAGACTGAGCTCACTGTTCACTGAGCAGAACTCTAAGTAGATCATCTCATCGTGTTCTGAGTGCTACTCCTGACATATACCATACCGAGGGTATTATCTTTATTCTGCATTACATTTTCCGGAAAAAGAAGTTGTGGGAGATATAAGAACGATTCTTGAAGTCTGAAATCTGTGAAAAAAAACAAACAAGATGCTGTAAAGATGAGGCTGATGATTAAAAATGGCCTTCAAAGTTGCAGTGGCCAAAAGGTTAGAACAATACTTCCAAATAAGCTGATTAAGCCAAGCATACATAAAGAAGCACACCCCTTGGTTTTTATAGAGTGCTCTTTCATGGAAAATGCAAGCATACTTAAATTTTGAAGCACAACGTCAGAATCTGTTAACAACCCAGATATTCCCCAAACTTAAGTGCTAAATTATGTTGTAATCTACAGGGCAAAAAAACGCTAAAAGAAACAGATCTTTCCATTCACAATATGTTACAAACACAGTGGCACAAGAAATGAAACCAAAAGACCCAGGAAAAGTCTAGTCTTTTCAAAAGAAATTAAGGAGAGTTATAGGAGACGTATCAACTTGATGAAAATAAGTAAGGGTTCAACTGACAACACTTACTCTTCAAAGACAGAAAACTGGACTGATCACGAATTCAAAGTCTGTGTCCTTCTTACCCTCAGACAATGAGACTCAAAGACAGTGGCTTGAATAAAGGTTGTCCAGAAGAACTGAGGCAATCAATGAGGGAAGGAAGGAAAGAACGAAGGAAGGGAGCCGGTCACCTAATCACAATGGCCAAATTCCAGAAAGATTTAAGGAAGAAGACAGTAATTATGACATAAGAAATTTGTCTATGTCAGGATTACACAGACTACATCACTGAAGCAAGTCAAAGAATCAGTAAGGCAAATCCCAAGGGTTTGATTAAAAACGCAGACTCTTACTGGCATAGCAGTCCAGTTTTAACAGTCACATCTCGAGAAGAATGGATGTAACAAAGTCATGATTAGCTCAGTTGCAGTTGAGACTGCAGTTGGCAAGTAATTTACCATTAGAACTAGCAAAGGACTGATATGCAAGACGATCACCTGTGGCCACAGTGTAGTTCAACAGGATTGTGTTTTGCATGCATAGCATACACTACGGCCTGGGTTTGACAGAATGTTATACATGTTTTGTTAAGCTAAGCATCACGACTGATTGTTGCTCAGGAGGAAGAATAAGAGGGTTCTGTACCTACCATTTGAAACTAGTATGTCAGGTATACACAAAATAAAAAGTTTGGTTCCCCCCCCCCCCAGATTCTATACATATGTGCTCATTCCTCCAGGCACCATCACAGACCCTTCTGTTGTCTTTTTGAGACAGGGTCTCCCTGTAGCCCCAGCTGGCCTGGAACTCACTATGTAGACCAGGCTGGCCTCGAACTCAGAGATCAGCTTTCTTTGCCCCCCAAGTGCTGGGATTAAAGGCCTGCGCCACCACACCTGGCTCATTAGCATCACTTTTATAATTGTAACAATATCATAAGAGCTGTGACAACTTTTTAACTGCTACCTAACAAAATTCTTTCAAACTGGTTTTTCTCAGAAGTTAAAAGTTTTGATATATGCATTCCACTAGAGAATTTTATACATTTACAATCGCATTAAGTAAAAACATTAAGTAAAAATGAGCACATAAATTAGTAATAGTATATAACTCAGAGGAAAATGAGTTTCATATACAAATTATAAAGTCTAAAAAGAATTTTCTAGACATCATTCAAAAGATTTGCAAATATAAGACTTTCAGTACTCAATAGGATTGAAAAATGCTGTTGGTCTAATTAGGAACGCACAACCCTACTGCTAATTCATTCTGGAATGGGGTAAGTATGGAGGAACACGCCAGCCTCTAGAATGTCACATGGACTTACTTTGGTTGCTGGTCATGTCAAAATTTACAGTAGCAGACAAACAAGAACATAATGCTGCAATAACTGAAGTAAAATATGTTACGTGATTAGAGGAAGTATGCTTTTTCCATGCTACAGTTACAGAAAGGGAGGAGCTACTAATGGAAAAGTAAGACGATGCATTAGTGTTATTTTATGGGACACTTACAAGAATGTTGATTTAAATGGAGATTTTTTTTAAAGGTTAAAAAATCGTTCAATTTTATGTCTTACAGGGCTTATATTGAGTTCAATATTGTATAACTGTATTAATTCAACAGCGAATCTGAAAATTTTATAGCCATTTTTGAAAGAGATGTATCTTTGCTCTGGAAATTGTTATTGAGTACGCTAAAGCTGTAATGATATGCTTCTAAACAAATTAAAAAAATATTAAAAAATGTTCATTTAAATACATTAATGTTTCACAGCTATGGAAGATTTTAAACTTTTAAGTCCACTATAAAAAACTAAAGTTCTATCTTAATGCTAAATCCAAAGTAACTACCCACTCACTAAATTCCTACTATAAACCTGGGTAGTCAGGACAGGAAGGGGTGACATACAGTGGACACAACACAACATCTAAGCTTTGAAGACTTTGCTATTAGGCTGGATGGGGAAGTATAGGATTAGCAGGATGGCTTTGGCATAGCAGTTTTTAAGATGTCTCAAGACAGCACAGATTTGAATAATATGAAAATTTAAGACCCATATGACTACATTAATAAAGATGTAGGATACTTACCCCAAAGAGACTGTTTTATGCTTGATAATTCAGAGCTTTGTGCTACAGAGCCCTGGTTAAAATGATCTATTAATTCTGTCAATGCAGAAACTAAAAGGCATTCATCTAGAAAGTATTTTGAAAAATATAGGTATTGTTTCTTTAAAAACTAAAGTACATTTTTGATCTGAAAGTTGATTTCTAGTGTTAGTATCTTCAACATTCCTGTTCTACTTAAGTTATAAAGAGAGAAGAGCATAAACTAAAGGAAAGAACTATAGTAACTAACATGCAGAATCAAGAAAGCCAGAACTGCTGTGCGGCAGGGTCTGGGTTGCCACGGTGGTAGTAGAAGGTGAAGCAACGGGCTTCTTCTCATCTTCCATTGTGTCTTTTGATGTCTCAGATGGCTGTGATGCTGATGAACGTCCAAATCTTGAGAACAACATTCCTCCAAGCCCCTTTCCAATGCTAGCAGCCCCTGCATTGCACAGAATAGGGTAGTTACTCTGCTGAATTACACCTAACAGCACTCTGAAGAGTACCACCCGTATTTACAGCCAACTGGCAGAGCCCTACTTCCAGGGTGTAGACCTTAAAAAAAAATTCCACTTTATACTGTAGGGTTCTAAATAAGAATGTTGAAAAGAATGAAAGTTGTATAAACTCTAGGGATGATAGGAATATATAATCAAAGTAATAAAGATGTTATTTTATTCGAGTGATCCCTGTTATGGGAGTATTTGGAAAGATTAACACCTGTAACAAAAGAGCCATTTCGTTGACATGGGATTATATTGTTACTACTGATAGGTATACTTCTTACTAAAAAACCATTAACAATCTGTAAATATGAAGTCAAATAGCAAACAAGTTTGGTAGATAGAGTCTACTTATAGTGCCATCTTGTGGCATTTTAAATAAAGGCAACTCATAGCCTAAAGCAATGGACAAATTCAAGTGGTGCACAATTGAATTCCAGTGAAATGCCAAACTTTGTGTGGGTACTTGAGAGCACTCAAAGAGAAATTAAATATCCCTACTGCCCCCGTAAAGCACAAGGACTGAGAGACTGTCCCCACTGGTGGGGAGGCGCTCCTAGAACACAGGTGTGTTCTTTTCACAGACAAGCAAAGTGGAGCAATACAAACTACAGCATTTCTTTGGATTCCAGCAAGGGCAGGGCCACCATTAAGAGGGACTTGCGTCAGAGAACGCTTTGTCTGCTCTTTCTAACAATCTCATGTTCTAAGTCTGTAGAATTGAATCTAATGAGAGGACTTTCAAGCTTTGTTTCTCAAATATGCAGTCAGTAAGGCAGTTCATTCGAGGAGACTGACTGTTGGACGTTTCCAACAGTTTATTTCCAATGCCTCCAAATTTAATACTTTATCATAAGGTGCTTACATTCACAGACAAGAAACATTTAAGAAAAATTACCCAATATGCTTGCTTTGCCAATGTTAGTTATAGATTCTCCATAGTGACGCCGTGATAAGACTGGGGAGGTCACAGGGCTCGGTATGGTTGAAATGCCTTCATTCTCTGAGACTGAGGTAGGTTCTTTTGCTGGGTTGAGAAAGCTTGGCTTCATATGCTCATAAGGTAGAGGATTTGAAGTATTGTACCAGTGGATCTGGACTGGTGAAATGTTGCTGTAGTGTTTCAATATTAATGGTTCTAATCTGTAGGCCTTTAAAAAGAAACACAGTATTAATGCATAAAGACTGGCTTTTAGTAAAATGGTTAGTCTTCTGTTATATACTAAATGTATCTTAATAAAGCAGGAATTAAAAAAATTGTTATTTCAAACATGTATTTCTTATTTTCCACTGTTAAAAGTATGTGGTTGGTCTAATTACATATCCTTAATGATGGGATTATGGAAAAAAAAAACAATGTGAGTTAGTCTTGAGTAACAGTGTCCATATAAATTTTATTACATCCTGATTTGGTCTAATAAGATTTATGCCAATCTCACAAAGCTTAAGTGGCAAATGATAATGTAGAGCACAGTAAATAAGGTCAATTTTTAATATTTAGATCTCTTTCACACTTGGTTTTCAAAGAGATGACTCCAATTAACAGCATAGCTGAGATGTCAACAAAAGACCACTGTCTAATATTAGGAAGGGATGATGCAACAGAAAAGGTAATGGATGCGGTGTCAGAATCCCCCAGTGTAGATTCTGGCTACTGTCATCTTTTAACTATTTGACATTTGTTAGGTCACAGATCTTAGAGCTTCAGTTTCCTGAGGTGAAGGATGAGGGTAAAACTTCCACTTTTTAGGAATGTGAGGAAGAACAGGTAACATCTACAAAACCTGCCTAGCACAGGTCTGACAAAGTATTAAAAGAAAGTATTAGAGGTCAGGCATGGTGGTGCATGTCTTTAATCACAGCACTTGGGAAGTATTGTGAGTTCAAGCCCAGTCTGGTCTACATAGTGAGACCCTGTCTCAAAAGTATTAGAGAAAAACTGGGGTGCACGCAGTGGTAGTGTGCATGCTTAGTATAAGGCTCGGGGTTTGATCTCCAGCACCAAACAAACAAAAATTCTCAGGATGTACAAAGACTCAATTCATCTATAAACTCGAGTTCATTTCCAAGTTATGGCAGATGGATAAAATGAATATATATTAATGAAATACAAATTATCTGGGTGTTTTTGCATATATTTTACCTAATCCTAACAACAGGAAGAAATATCTATACCATGACATAGTCTCAAGAAGTGACTGGGCCAAGATTGTGTAGTTTATATTTGAACCTACAACAGACTTGGAGTTGTCACCCTAGCTGAAACTTATTTCCAGTTCAAGTTTATTTCCTAAAATTGGCAGCTGTAAGTCTTAATGGAACTTTCTAAAAATCAAGGGGTTAGTCAGTCAATAATTTATTTGGTACTAGCTAATGATCTTTCAAGAGACCTCACACATAGCCAGTTGTGGAGGCCGAGGCAGGGAGGCAGGTAGATCTCTACTGAGATCAAGGTTACATGGTAAGTTCTAGGCCAGTTGGAGCTATAGGGAGACCCTGTCTCAAAAAAGACAAAAAAAAAAAAAAAAAAAAAAAAAAAAAAAAAAAAAAGAAAGAAAGAAAGAAAGAAAGAAAGAAAGAAAAAGACTTCACACAACTATAAATGCTATTTTCAGAGAGTAAGTACTATTTAAAACTAGTTTTATAGGGCTGGAGAGATGGCTCAGCAGTTAGGTGCACTGGTTGCTCTTGTAGATAATCCAGGTTTGATTTCCAGCACCTACATGGTGGCTAACAACCATTCATAACTCCAGTTCCAGGGGCTCCAATGCCCTCTCTTGACCCCTGCAGGCACTGCACAACACAAATGCACTTACATACATGCAGGTAACACACTCATTCACATAAAACAAATAATACAAAAAAATTTTAAAAAGGTTTACTATCTGTGTTTGTTATACCCACTCTTGTCCCCAGTAGGATTTAAGGAAACTTGTTTTGGTGGGGAAGTCAAACCTGCTTCTTCACACAAGCTAAACATGCATTTTAACACTGAGCTACACTCCAGCCTGGAAGCACTTTTCTTGTCTAAGAAATCTTCCCTGGCATTACCCTACTTACACCTGGATATGAAATCCCTGGAGTGCTTACAGTTAAGTAATTTTTTCCTTTGCATTTTTAAATTGAATTTTTGTGATTTTCATACAATATAGTTTGATGGCATTTAGATCTGCTCCCCTCTCCCCACCCCCTCCACTATTTCCCACTGAATTTAA